GTGTTCGACTTTGGTCTTTCCACTCAATATGCGTAAAAAATAGACGTGATTCAACTGTGTTTATCCGTTTGATCTTTCAAGACCATTGGTGGTGCAGTGAATCTTGCCGTGAAGTGTTTGTTGAGACATAAGATCATATCTTCTGATGTTTTGTGAAGATTGTTACTGTCTGTTATTGTAGAAAGCTAAAATACACATATTTTAGTAAAGTAATATTAGTACACACTGTGCCAATAGACTTATCACACTCGAATGAAGTTATATCCTTGTCTTGGATGACACAACTCAAGCATATCATGTAATTACTAAAAAGGTCGATGTATGTAATAAGTCATATCGTTGATATGATATGGCCTTTCCGTCAACTATTACTCAATATTCTCTCTTTTTCCTGCTCTCTTCTAAATCATTGTATAGGGGTGTGGGTGGACAGATGAACTGTATCCACACCCACATCCGCACCGACCTATTCACACCCTAGTGTAAAGATATAGTCCATTACGGAGAAGTACATAACTAATGGCAGAATTATAATATGATAAAGGTAGTGTCCTATGAAAAAGCCTTTGTAGGATGTATTCCAGGCACACAAGCAAACGAAAAAAACAGTGTTTAAATGCCATGAGTTTAAACAATGTGGTGTGCCCCCAAAAATGCGTTTAAACTACTCAAAAATATTTATTCGCTTAACACGTTTTCTCCGTTTAAATAACTTAATTTTAAATCTCTCCAACAATTTAAACGTGTGGGTGTTGAACTTATCTTATTGGCTCGGATAAATAGAATTGATTCAAGATAAAATGTACCACTAGTTTAGTTATTAGTTTCTAGCTAATTTGATTGAATATGGTTGTCTACGAAGAAACAATTTACAGAAAAAGAGCGATCGAATACATGTTGAAAGTGATTTTAGAAACTTTTGCTTCTGCTTCGAAAAGCACCTTGGCATTTTCATGCAAAAAGAGATACGTCCTCAGACTTATGAGAGGAATTTCATCAGACGCGTCTCACTGTATGTCCTCAGAGATATATTTTTTCCAATTATGAATGAGATCTTGCATGATAAGAACGTCAAAATTTCTAGAAAAAAGTGCACAGACGAAGCGAAGTATTAACTAATGGGTAACGGGTTTTTACCGAAGATGTTCTTATTTCAGAAAGATCTCTTCATGTGTGACACGTTTGGAAGCGTACCACGTTAATTATGTTCTGTGATCGTTGAAACGAATATTTTCGCTAAGAAAATCTAACAATTTTATTCACAGCATGCTGCAAAGGAGCATTAAAGTGATCTCAGAACACGTTTGTTTATACAGAAAGCATTTTTTTTTACTAGCTGCTCTTTCCTATTAGCTTTTTCTCATGAACTGTCCAACTCAGAGCTGACATGCTGCTGAGACGATGGAAACAAAATATTGTCCGTACTAAAAAAAAAACATAAATATTGACATATAAATAAGTGCTAAAAAAATTCAGGGGGGTTTTCTAATATGTCGAGGGCTTTGCTTCTCCGAAGAAAATATGAGAGTCCTATGTAAAACAATCCAGAATAAGATGCAAAGTACAATCTAAAGAGTAGAAATAAAATCAGTGTCAAAAACAGATATAAAAGTAACATTTATAAATTATATTTTACAGAAAAAAAACTTATTTACTGATGTATATGAGTTCAAATATTGATGATCATTTCTGTTAGTTTATCAATTAGAAGAGCCAATTACAATTTAATTATAATGCATTTCTGAAATTCTTCATAGAAAATTTAAAATCATAAATAAAAACAATAATTGAAAAATAGTTTTTTTATTTGATTAAAAAGATAAGTATACTCTAAAAACTAAATGAAAACGTTTTGTTGGATTATAAAAAATAAAATATACTACTCATCTGTAAATAAAAACATTCTTGTTATTGTATATCAGTAGTTAATATCAAAACACAAATAGATCATTGTAATTTCTATTGCAAAGAGATACCATTATGTATACGTTTGATCGTATCATTAGGAAGCAGTTTATCAGACTATATCACTGTTTTTTCTAGTTCTTCCTCAAACAGACAGTTTAACTCAAGCGGCAATAATGATGACAATATTAATGATTTAAAATCAGGTAATAGTAGATATAAGATGTTCATCCACATGTCGATAGATCCGTCCATACAGAAAATATTTAAACGAGCAAATCGCACTCCAACTATAATATCTGTGTATCGATACGTAAATGGTGAACTCTATTCGGTAAAAGAAAACTGATTAACAGTAAATACAGTGAATGAAATGAACTGAATTGAAGAATTGTCAATTTTTGTTCCGTATTTCGATGAATACATGGGAGATTTTCAGTAGATTTAAAAGAAAAAGATAATTGTTAGTTCTTCACTGACAATATTGCATTCAAAAAACCATTCCCGCCTGATCAAAAACGGGGAAATAAATCGCTTGATTTTCGTCTCAAAAGAAGTAGCAACATATTCATAAGTACAGTATTGACGATATTCCTATTGAAATTGACGTAAGTAAGGTACTTTTTTTGATGAAGTTCATTTTGCATTGCAATTATGATTAATAGTCAAATATTCAATAGTTCTGGATTGTTCAGTATTACCAAGTTACTCAGTAGAGTGCTTGATCCTAATCTGATCACGAGTTTTGTTTCTTTGTTGGAAAGAATTCACAAGTTTTCTCCAGAACATTTGTTTTAGTTTATTTTTAGTTTTCTAGATAGAGTAAACATTTCTCTATCTTTCTATGTAATTTTTATTGAAACTAATTAGTCCTTATTGAGCAACAATCATTAGAGAGACACCTACTCATAATTTTTGTTTGCTCTGCTTATTTTCGAATATTGATCATTTAAGCCAATTTACATAGAGACCTCAGAAAATAAGTTGTTTCAGTATGATAAATATCTCAAATCATAGAATAAATCAAATCATTTGATTTCTCATATCAAAATTAATATTCCTGTGTATTTTGTATAATTCTACAGTGCAATCTCCATCATTTTTTTCTCATTACATTCAAATGACAGATGTGGCCGCATTAGGAAATCGATTTTATTTTCAATCATAAAAGCTATTTTGAGTTCCTAATTTGATCATTTAATTTAAAAAACATTGAGTTTTGTTGAATGATTGAAAAAAAAGATATACCATATATCAAGAATTATCTACACATAACGAAAACGATTTTGTACTTTCATTCCGTTGTCTTTTTCTTTATACATAATAGAAATAGTTATTACAATAGTTTAAGGCCTGTTAACAGTATACTAGTGCGAGATTTTAAGCTTGTTTATAAAAATATGATTTTGGCTCGCTAGTGAAGTATGTCATTCATTATAAGATCTAATATAATAGTAGTAAATTGACCGAAAATCATATTGCACTCATTTGATAACCATGCAGTCAATTAACTGATTGCGTCAAATTGTTCTTTTTCGAAAGCAGTTTAGTTTTAAATGAGAGAATAGCAATGCTTGTTGGCAATATCTATGATAAAAAAATCTGCAGTTGTCTTGCTTGAGCAGTTTTACAGTCATTTAAAATTTTCAGAGATTAAAGCAAAAGGAACCATGGAACTAAAATGAAGGATTATTTTGAATGGCTTATGCAATAATTCAATCATTCCTATATAGTTTATTAATTAATCTAGTAGTATAATATTTAATTAAATGATGGTTGACATAGTTCTCTCGAGAACGAGAATGAGAGAGAGAGAGAAACAACAATGTAGGTTGAAACTAACTCGTACAAAAGAAATCCATCCAGATGAATTAATATTACTTACATTATACTGAAATATATTATTCTGTCACATAAAGGTCACTTGATTGATTATGTTATATAAAGTTCATATGATATAAGTCGAACTAAAGATTCAATAGTTGTTAGTTGAAGTACAGATGAGTAAGTTTATTAGCCATTTTGTAAAGTAACTTCGAATGTTTTTATACAAAGTCGTCAAAGACTTAATTTAAAAGTTAGATTTTTCATTCTATAATCAAACAGTGTTCAACGACTATATCATATAAAAAAATATTCAAATAGAGATATTTGACAGCGATTTTCATCTCAACTGCGATTTATTAATTCATATTCAATTGATTTCTTCTGCTCACCTGAATAAAGTCATCTGATATATCTGTCGTTACACATACTGCAGTTATTTCAAGTCTATTGAAGTATCCTATATAAATCAAGGATGTTTCTGTCGATATGAATTTATTTTGAAATATGAAATTAAATAATCAATTAAATTAACTCATACCAACGAAATTGATTATTGTTTATTACACTGACTATTAATCAATTTATATTCCTATTTTCGAAATATTATTACATTTCAATTGGTATGAGAGTTTTATCGTATCAATGTTAAGTGAGTTTAGCTTAGTGGTAACTTCATAGTTTCACAATATGAAAAGTAAAAAATGAGGATTTCGCATGCAAATTCGAGATATCGGCGTATAATTTTTCGCTGAGATGAAAATCTATTATAATTCTGATTTTATTTCATAAATAATCTAATTGACTATCTAAATCAGGTTTATAGAGTTTTTGAATTTTAATCACAAAGTTTACAAGACAAGATTCAATCCATTCGTAGAATTTCCAGAGAAAACCTGCAATGTATCATTAATTTCGAGAATATTACTGACAGTGCTTCCACATATAAAAACTCTTTACTGCAAGAAAACTAACAACCTGCAGTTATGCTTGAAAAATAAAAAAAAGAAAAGCAACTCTGATTCTTGCAAAAAGTGACACAAGAACGTCAATCTTTTACCTTTCTTCCTTCATTCGCCCCAAACAAAACTGTCAAGAAACGAAAGAAAAAAAAAGATGCGCTTGAATGAGTTTGCTACAATGAGAGAACGAAAAAAAAAACATGTGTACATCATCATATTACATTCTTTTTTCTGGTTAAAAAGAGAAACGTGAAATAAAATTGTTCGACTAAGAATTTTGTGCTGCTGTAAGTAAGACAAGTCAAAACAATGTCTTCATATATTACGAAAACAATTCTTGGAAATGAATTTGATAAAATTACGAAATCCATGAAAGGTATTCATTAATTTGTAGTCATCATTATGCTTTTGTCTGTCCTTAGATTTAACTTTCGGTGAAAGTGTCGATGGAGAAGACAAAGATGTCGGCATGTCTGGCGAAGATCAGCTTGTAAGTGTAACAGATTTTCTTTGCAAAAAAAAAAGGTTTGCACTTTCGAATGTTTGAAATCTTATTTCGCTACTATTAGGCTGAACAAAAAAGACAAGCAAATATCGAAAAAGAACGAAAAGAAAGACAAGCTAAGGTGGAAAAAGAGCGTGAAGAAATAAGACAAAAGATTCGTGATAAAGTAAATAACGTAGAAGTTTCTAACATTGCACTCCTCTTCTAAAAAAGTTCTCGTTCTCTCTCTATTTTCATAGTATAATATCAAGAAGAATGATGAGCATTCCAGTCCAGCTCATGATAAAACAAAGACGATGACAACGACATTGGATGAAAATAAAGCAGAAGAAGTGCATCAAGCATCAAGTGTAGAAAATCAAAGTAGATAGTTCGGGATAATGAAAGCGTGTATTCCGCACTCCGGTTTTGCCCATCCGTGTGTCAGACATAAATCAGTGCCTTGCCCTGCCTTGCGGGTTAAAGATATACTTTTTACTCAGTAAAAACTTGAACTAAATTTGCATAAAGTTGGTTTTCTTAATACGTCATCTAACAGATTGTCAGCAAAGTATGACTTTCAGTACAACTTCTAGTTAATTCACAAAAATCTCCAAGTCTATTTAGAGCAGATTAAAATTTACTAGTCCTATTTTACCTTACAAGCAGTTCTGTTTGACACAATCTGAAGTTATACCACCTTTTTTCTGCTTCTTTATTTTCTCTTTTTAATTAGGTTTCGATCCAATGAAAACGGCGACAAATGTATTTAACGGTTTAAAGAAAAAATTTGGATGGAAATGAAAGTTTTTGGCTGATTTTATGATACTCAGTCTTGCGATTTTTTTGCTCGTATCTTTTCTACCTGCAACTTTTATTGATTTTCTGTATCCTGTTCTTGATTTGATTCATTCTTTTTACTATTCATTTATAAGCTGCAGAATCTTGTCGGTGATTATCCGAAGATTTATTTTCCCTTCAAATTATTTTTATATGTATTCTAATGATTGACATTTGACCGTTATTTTCATCACTTGGTCAAACTCTCTAAAATATTTGCGTCAGAAAAGCTTTCTGCAGCATTATCTTTGGCGAGCTTCAAGAATATGCTTTCCTGGATTTGATCTTCCTTACCCTATGTCTATATTGTTTGTTGTACGAGTAGCTCATTCAAGTCTCATTTCTTAGTAGAACATCCTTTATAACTACTCTCATGCACTGTGAGATGCTCTTTCTAAAAAGACGTGTTAACTTCCATTTCCATCTGTTCTTCTCTCAAGGTTAACTTACGATTACTTTTTTCGTTCCACCAAAAAAAGAAACGAAAAAAACGTGTGAGCCATACAAGTAAAAGTATGGAGAAGGAAAGTAACATAACAGACATTTATACACAGAAATGAGTTTTTAGTTTATTCTTCTGAAGAGTTCTCCTCACAATTGATTTACCAATTACAAGATATTGTTTGGCCTAAAATTTTCAACAATGAATGATCCATGCGAGAAAACGCTTGTGATAAAGATGTCAGTCTAATATGTCTTACTAGGCCGAACTTCCAACTTGTTTTCATACATTCCAGCAGAATCAAAATAAGGATTCCGCAACAGTGAAAATCTCTTGTCTACAAATCATGTTTCGAGATAAATCCTAAAGAAGTTTTAGAAATGGGGCTTTTTCATTCAAATCCAGGAAAAATCATATTACAACGGCATATTTGTAATACATGCCAGTGGACTTTAAAAAGCACGAAACTTTTTACGAATGCATGATAGTAGATCCAAAGTTTCCTCTGATAAATCTGTGAAAATCTGATCATTTTCCCAAAAAGTCATATATATTCTAAAAGCGGAAGCTTCGGTGCATCTTCCTACAATAAAAAACTCAACTTCGATATTTTTCGAAAAATATTGAATAGTGTTTGTTTCTTCATTCTCAATACACCTGATTTACATAAAGTTATTTTTTAAAATGATTTTATTAACATTTTCATTAAATAAAAAATAAAAAAAAATTCTTTGATCAATTATTTTAGATAATCTTTTTAGTGATTATCAAAAAAACGAACATGATGGAAATGATTACTGATGTACATTTAGATAGTGTAACTTCAAGTGCTGCATCAATGTGGCAAGCTTTCATTCATCATCCTGTTCCTCAATTATACTTAATTTATCAATGACAAGTAGTAATAATATCATTATTCAAAATATGGTTGATCATTCTTAACCATTGCCTGATGAAAATAATCTTCGTTGAAATAGTGCTCATTAATCTACATACAATTCTCAATAGTTTATAAAATGTAATCAACATAATAATGCATGTAAGTTTTGTAGAAAAGTTTGAAAAAATTGTATACTTTCTTTTAAAACCTTTTCTCCTCGGTTTATTTCTTAGATAAAAAATCATATAAATATGAATTATAGAAAGAGTGTGAGTGCGGAAGCAAGAAAAAGATTCGAACTCACATTGATCCCAAGATTCTATACATCTGCTATTGAAAAGAAGAGATAAATATTAAACTTTAGTCGTTTGTGATTATCATAAAGAAATATAAAATCGTTTTAGTTCTGAAAATTCTCGCCATAGGTTTTAAAAGAACTTTTGCTTTGACATTCGTATTTCACTTTTTGTATAAAATAAAACAAAACAATTATTTTTCATTCAACTTAACAAAATCTTTTTATTTATAAAAATGTATACAAAGAATATCTTTGACAAGAAAAAAATATATTCACAAAATGGCAAAACGGTAAATCACTATCTGATACAAAATTATATATACAGTGAAAAGAAAAACAACTGACTTATATATATATATATATTGCAACAGATTTAGCAGCTGACAATCCATGGAAATGTTTCTTTGAAAAGAATATATTTGACAGCTTCGAAAACATCAAGTTTAATTGTTGTTGGTAATTTCCATGGATTTTTACCATCTAACTTGTGTTTATTTGGTTCATAAACACCTGTACATACTAAAATTGATTCACATGCTGTTGCACTCAACAATAGCGAATCAGACAATAAGCTGTAACCACTAATGCTTGTTCTGAAGTTTCTTGGTTCTTTTAATACATGATCGTACATATTTGCACCAACAATATCAACATCTGGGTTATCACCAATGAAATAAACTTTTTCAATTTCTGGTTGTCCATTTGCTAATGCTATTTTATTAGCGATCATTTCAGCATATTGATATTGAATTTCATATGGTTTACCAACAAATGCTGTATATTTAAGATCATTGCCACTGATACTCTACAGTCAAATGAATATTTATAGAATTTCTTCCATAAATTAAGAGAAAAAATTATTTACTTTATATAATGTTTCTAAACAAGTAAGAAAAGCACCATGACCAAAACGTGGTAAATCTGCAGCAGCTTTAAATACAAGATCTCTGTTACAAGCAATCACAGGTATATGATCGTGTTGAGCATTTGAATCAGTTAGTATTTTAGCAGGATTACCATCAGTTAAAAGAAGATCAATAATAACTTGTAATGATCTTTCCCAATAAATCGGTTCACCAAGTAGAACAATAGCTTTAAAGAACAAGAGAAATTTAAGACGTTTGATAAAAGAAACAAAATGAATATCTACCTTCAACAGGACGAAAGTTCTCATCATGAACAAGACCTTGAGTACGAATCATTTCACTCTAAAAAATAATAAATGAATATAAATCTATGTTTGTTTTCTGTTCCTTACTAATTTAACACGATTCATATGATCAACCATATCTAATTCTGGAAATGCTTCACAAACTTTTTCAATTGTAGTTATACTTTTAAAACCAATCCTAATGAAATAAAAAAAATCAAACAATTATTAGAGATGAATGACATTAAAATATCTACTTACATTCGAGCGATATCTTCAGCTGCATCTTGTCCAGAAATAAGAACATGTTTATTATGAAATTCAGTTAATGTACGCATTGGTGTTTGAGCAAGAACAATTTGTTCAGGATGAATCTATATTAAAATATACGTCTTATTTAAAAGATCGAATGAATTAGAAAAAAGAAACTTACAGTAACTCCAAGTACAGCTGAAAGTTGTTTAGCTTTATCTGATTCAAGCATACATGTATTTGAAACAAATATAATAGGTACATTGAGTTGAATCAATGTTTGAATAGCTGGTTTAGCAGCTGCAATAAAATTTGGACCTTTTGTAATGACACCATCAATGTCAAAGAAACAGGCAAAACTTGGCTATTCAAAATAAATAAATATATGAATAACAATGAAGCAGATAATCTCAAATATTTATTTACCGGCTTCATAATCGAAAGTTTGTATTATAATAAATACTTGTGAATATTGTTTTGAAAACACAATTTTATAATAAAGACAATTTTTTTTCTGAGCATAACTGAGCAAATCCGCAGTATTTATATACTCGTATCAACAGCAGAAAAGACTCACGAGCAAGAGATAGTCTTGTGATCATTTTGTATTTTGTTCTCTACTCAAATGATATATACGTTCTTTCTCGGAACATACATTAACTGAATGATTTCATTTTGTGCTTGCTATATTCTTCTCTTCCTATCTGTACTATAACATGCTGATAGTGATAATACTACAAAGATAAACAATAAAGTACAGAGTTCTTTTCTTTCTGTTTCTATTTTTCTTTCAGCACGCAAATAATAACGATTCTAGTATGTTCTACATTTCATATATAGAACACTAGAAAATAGAAAAGTCCAAGGACACATAAACACACCTTCCATCAATGTTTGAATTATGACAGAAAGCAAATCTATTGTATCATATGAATTTCAATATTAAATTGATTGTTGAGTAAGAAAGAATTAATGCAATGTATACAAGACAGTTGAATGTTGTTTACTCTTTCGCAAAAATGAATAGTTTTAGTATTAAAATATCACATGAAATTTTGTACAAATTACTTAGCAACAACGGCTAAGATATATGATTTATTGAATACTATATGCGTACAGGTGTCGAATTTGCTCTTTGCTTCGAAATAATGTCGATATTTTTATATTTACAATGATCCTTTTACTAATTTAGACTCTAGTTTATTTTTAAT